GTCAAAGGGTTATTTTACTATCTTCTTGATTCTGTACCCAAAGGCAATATTCCCCCTGGTGGTACATTTTTTTCTTAGATTTTCAAGAATCTAAGCAGGTCAGGAATGCTACTCATTTGTCTTGGAGGTGGATGAATAGCATCTGCTTGTAACCCACAGCACAACCCAGTGGGAAACAACGGAAAACTGCTTCAAAGAAGGAGTCCTGGGCTGCTTCTTTTTTTTTTTTTTTTTCTGGGCGTCTTGAAAGATCTTCATGAGACCAACAGCTCACTGCTCTCACAAGTTTCCTTAGACTACCTGACTGCCTTCTGCTTGCCAATCACCGGCTCAGTACAATCATGTTCACGCACTGTGCTAAATACTTATGATATTATGCCAAAAAAGACAAGGCCTCTGCTTTTATGGCATCTACATGCTAGCGCTGGGAGAAAAATAACAAAAATGGAAACAACATGAACTAGATTTCAGATACTGAAAGGTGATATGATCATATGTGACTGGACAAAGGAGAGCTAATTTAGACTGGGTACTAGAGTTCCATCTAAGATCCAAATAATAGGTCAGCCAGGAGAAAAACTGAGGGAAAAAAACTGAGGTACCAAGTATTCCAGGCAGAGAACATCTCAAGGCAGCAAAAAATTTGGGATGTTTACAGAACAAAATAAGTGTGACTGGAGCATGACGAATGGGGAGAGAGAGGAGATGAAGTTAGAGAGAAGTAGGCAGGGTCTAGAGTACTTAGAGTCTTAGGCGTCATGTAAGAAATAAGAATTTTTGCTTGATCTTATTTCGTACAACCTGACTGTTCTCAGGAGATCTGAATTTGCCTTTTGCCTTATCTCTTTAACTTCTGCTTATTCTAGGTAGGCTGACTATACCCTAGCCTGAATTATGCCAGAATGTCAGTCAGTTCATTTGGGATATAATCAACTGGGGGAAGGGGGCAGTACAAAATGAAAATGCGAAGCCCTTTGTTAAAAAAAAAATATTAACAATTTCAAGAAAGTGACAGCAGAGGATTAAACCAAGTACAGGGTCCAACTAAGTGAGCAAGGCCTGTGTGACTGACTGCACAGGTCACATACCGATGAAGCTGGCCCTGATCTTGATAAATGTTACTTGAAAAAAATAAATGCCTTCTACTGATGAATAATTTCTGTTTTCATTTCACCTTATCTGTCAATCACATAAACTTATTCAAGATTTTTTAAATGGAGTAGCCTCTCAAACATGTGGTTTAAAGGAAGCTGCCAGGCTATATGGGAAAAGAATCAAAAAAAGAGTGGATATATGTATATGCGTATGTATAACAGATTCTCTTTGCTGTACACCTGAAACTAACACAACATTGTAAATCAACTACACTCCAATAAAAATTAAATCTGCAAATATTTCCACATTTTTAAAGTGGATTCTACATGATGATAATTTAATATAAACAATTACTTTTTTGTTCTCATATCAAAAAAAAAAATAAAGGAAGCTGCACAGAAATAAAAAAAACTAGGATATCAAGACTCACTGCAGCAACTTCATGCCATTATTGTGTACTAATTGGAAAACAGTGATTATCCAGTCTATTCTCAGGCAAACTACAATTCATTTGTTCTTACTATTTACTCAAATGTATTACTCTTCCTCTTTTAGGTAGAAGGAAAGCACTGCAATAAATACCTACCAAATAAACAGTTGTTAGTACTGTTGGAATAATTGTTAGGTACTTCAAATTGCCAAATGGATCTAAATGGCTTTATTAGGCAGCCAGCTAAGAAATACAGCTCAGTGGCTAACATATTAAGATTTACACTGCAATGTCCTTAACTTATGCATCAAAAATACTAAAAAAATGTAATTATAAACCAATTTTTTTTATTTTTGGCCACACTGTGTGGCTTGCAAGATCTTAGTTCCAAGATCGGGGATAGAACCCATGCCACCTGCAGTGGAAGCACTGAGTCCTAACCACTGGCCCACCAGGGAACTCCCAGAAACCAAATTTTAAAAACAATACGTCTTTATAATCCTTAAGTCAGAAAGCCTGAAAACCAATAATCAGATAAGAAAACATTGTGACTATCAGGTTTTTTTCCCATTTTTCCTTCTTTTTCCACCTGCACCCATTTCACTCACCTCCATCCCCCAAAATGGTTTGTATGAAAAATAACAACGTATTTTACCTACTATGTAAAATTGAACATGATCATAGCTAACTAGAAAGTGTTCACAAGGTTCAATTATTTACTGCTAAAAATGATATTACAAATAAAAGATGCTGAGTCTGAAACGTCAGTCCAGCCCCTGATGTTTTAAGTTTGTAATCAACATCTCTACTTGCAGGACAGGGTTGTACTAGCCTTGCCTGAGTTGCTCCCATTCCATTCATGGTAGAACCCATTACTTAGCATTAGTTACCATAATGATTTATGCAACATCACAAGCACACTCAGACTCACAAGAACTGCAGCCAAAACTGCTCTATTGCTATCGAGATCACTGTACCTTGGAAAAGAGTAATTTCATTTGCAATTATACAACAAAATAAAAGTACAAAACAAAGACATTATTAGTGACATATTTATGCTGCTACCTCTTGCTACATGGAATGGTTGCCTGGAAAACAAGAATAGTCAAAGGGAATGTTTTGTTGGTTTCAGTGACATTAATGTTTGCACAGGGTTTGAGTCTATGTTGTAAGGAATTTAAAATATGACAGGTCTTGTCCTGAAAGAGATGACAATCTGGTATAAGAACTAAGGTAGATACAGATGAAAAAAATTTTCAAACATTCTCATAACACAGGAATAAGTCTGTAGAATCAGAGAATCTTGAAATTTTCGTGTCAAAGTAGAAAAGTCATGAGGACACGGGGAGGGGGAAGGATAAGCTGGGACAAAGTGAGAGAGTGGTAGTGTATATATGGACATGTATACACTACCAAATGTAAAATAGATAGCTAGTGGGAAGCAGTCGCACAGCACAGGGAGATCAGCTCAGTGCTGGGTCCACCTAGAGGGGTGGGATAGGGAGGGTGCCAGGGAGACGCAAGAGGGAGGAGATATGGGGATATATGTATACGTATAACTGATTCACTTTGTTATAAAGCAGAAACTAACACACCAAAAAAAAAAATGTAGAAAAGAAAGAAGATACTTTTTTTTTCCTTTTTCTTTTTTTTGGTTTCTAATTTTCTGGCCCTGTGACCACAGTTAATCAGTTACTCTCTCAAGGTGACCATCATCACTCACCTGCACTACAGCAACTGCCTCCTAACTGTTCTATTTTCTTTTTTGCTCCCTTCCCTTTTCCACACCATAACCAATATCTTTTAAAAAATGTGAATCAGATATCACTTGTATGCTTCGTATTATTTTTAGAATAAAATACAAACGCTTAGACATGGCTTATAAGGCTCTGTATTATCTGGCCCCAGTATACCTGCGCTGACCCATTTCCTACCACTTTTCTCCCTGCTCACAAGGCTAGGAAGAGATGGCCTCCTTTTTGTTCTTCAGTGGTAAGTAGCTCTTTCTTGCCTAGGGGTCTTGGCATGACTTGTAATTGTCATTGTGTAGTTTGCTCCTTATCATCACTCAGGACTAGGCTCAAATGTCACATCCTCAGAAAGACCTTACTTTACCTCCCTTCCTCTTTTCTTTTTTTTTTTTTTTTTGCGGTACACGGGCCTCTCACTGTTGTGGCTTCTCGCGTTGCGGAGCACAGGCTCCGGACGTGCAGGCTCAGCGGCCATGGCTCACGGGCCCAGCTGCTCTGCGGCATGTGGTATCCTCCCGGACCGGGGCGCGAACCCGTGCCCCCTGCATCGGCAGGCGGACTCTCAACGACTGCGCCACCAGGGAAGCCCTACCTCCCTTCCTCTTGACTTTCAGTCACACTGTACTGTTATCTGAAATTCCATTATTTATGTGTCTGTTACTTGCTTTTCTCCTGAGTCCCTCAGTAGAAAGGACACACTCCATAATTGAACTGATCTTCTCTGACTTTCTCTGTGCTGTAGGCCCAGTAGGTTGAACAATGTCTGGCCCACAAGAGAGCACAGTAAATAAAATGTTGAATGACAAAAGTCAGTCATTTAACTTCGCAGGACTTCAGCTTCGTCATCCATGAAGTGGGGATAATTATACCTGCTCTGGACATTAGCAATAAAAAAGTAATGTTTACTAAATGTTTACACTGTGAAAATTACTTACATGCATATTCTCATTTACTGTTATGATTCGTATTTTACAAGTAAGGCCGTTAAGTTTTAAAAAGACCAAATAACCTAAGGACACACGGCCATAGTGAGGACCCGGGTATGAATGCAGACCTGCTGTAACCTCAGAATCTGAGCTCTTAACCTCTACTTTATAGTTCCTTGAAAGATTCTTTCTTCCATTACAGCAAAATTGCCTATGCCGTCCGCCCCACGCAGGTCCTAGTTTGTCCTGTAGCACAACTGAAGAAAGCTATTACATCCCCCATGCGTTTCTTTTCCAAGATGAACATCCCCATTTCCTTCAATCCTTCCTTAAATGATCCTCATATCCTGGTCACTATCATCTCAAAAAACCAGTCTGACAACGTCTCTCCCGCCCCAGAACTGGTTAATTTTCACTGGGCTAATGGTTAAAGGACTTCAGAGCAGCAGAAGCCGATTCCCAGGGGCTGGGAAAATGTATATGTTCAAGTGTTTGAGTGGGCTGTGGTTAAAACTGGAAGACTTCCTGGGAGAGGTGATCCTCGAGCCGGAGTTCAGGGCAGTAATAGCGGATCGAGGGCCACAGCACCCCAGTCAAAGGACTGCGCGTGACAGCGGCCGCTGGGTTCCGCCGGGTCTAGACAAAGGCTGCTGGAGGTTAGGAAGATCGGGGACACAAACCCACGTGATGATGGCTAGCACGCGGAAGAACGCAAGTCGTTTTCCTAAAAGTAACTTAAATAGCGACTGGAGGGAAGCAAAGTGGGAGGAACAGTCAAGAAGCAAAACGCGAACTTACCCGGCAACCCGGCCTCCGTAGCCCCACTACAGACGCCGCCACCTGAGGAGCCCCGTAGCCAAGGCAGCGGCTGGCTCAACCCAGAGATCGCGAGACAGAGCAGGCCTCGCGAGATCTGGCCTCTGGCCTCTGACAGGCGGGCGTTCTTTCCGGGTGCCATGGGAGGGCTCTGGGTTACGCGATGGACTCGCGTGCCTTTCTGTGGGTGGCCCTGGAACCACCCTGGAAACCCGACCAGGGCTGCGGAGAGGGTAGAGTCTTGTCTCAGGTCGGGGAGGAGCGGGACACGGGGTGCTGAGAGGGAGCTGAGACGGCTCGGGACATGGAGGCGCCCGAGCTTGGCTGTGCAGCCGCCGCGACGGCCGAAGAGCACTAACCCCTTCACGCGCGCACAGGAGGAGGATTGGCGGCGGCGGAACAAGACCGTCCTCACGTATGTGGCCGCGGCGGCCGTGGGCATGCTGGGGGCGTCCTACGCCGCCGTGCCCCTTTACCGGCTCTACTGCCAGGTAGGGCTTGCGCTGCCCGTTGGGCGGCCCGTCTGGAGGGGCGGGGGTGCGGGCAGTTCCCTAGACAGCGATGCTCCACGGTGCCGTGTTGGAGGGATGTCCGAGATTATCTACCAAAGAAAATCGCTTTCTAAGGAAACAGGCCTTAGAAAGTGACTTACTTGCCCAGGGTCACTAAGAAGGTGACAAGGCTACCGGTAGAACCCGAGTTCTTATAGTGATCGTGCCTATACTCCTCTGCCTAGTGAAATTTCCCGATCTCAGCTACACCACCGGCAAGATCTGCAACCTGTATTACGGTATCCAGCGATCTGCCTTACTCTCCTGCTGTTCACACACGGTCCCGCTTTTAAAATGTAATTTATGGTCATACATTAATTCTGAGAACCACAGAAACCATGGTTTCTGTGCAAAGGTTAACCCTGGAAATGGGAGTGTGCTTGCTACTTGTAGTTAAACTGGGAGTAGCTTTTTATGTATACAAACTAGCATGAATTAGGACTTCGAGGCTTTTCCCCCTTGTTAATATGTAACTGTAATGTCCTTACACAGGGCTCCTTTTTAGATAAGAAACTCTAGTGCAATGGTTCTCAAAGTGCAGACCCCAGGACTAGCAGCAGCATCATTACCTGGGAGGGGAACTTGAGCGCAGATTGTTGAGTCCGACTGCAGAACTGTTGAATCAGAAACTCTGGGGGCAGGGCCCAGCAGTCTGTATTTAATAAGTTCCCTAGCAGATTTTGATGCAGGCTAACGGTTGAGAACCGCGGGCAAAGGCAGAGTTCACCTATTTCATATATATTCTGCTAAGTTCTTAGGCAGTAGTTTGCTGCTTTATCTGGGCATTAGGATCACCCATGGGGCTTCTTAAACAAACATGTCAGGGCTCCTGTACCCCAGAGATCCTGATTAGGAGACGTGGGTAGGGGTCAGGAATTTATGTTTTAAAAACATAAATGAGAGCTATACATTGGGTTCATTCAGTGCGTGAGTGATAGTGGTTCCCAAACTTTGTTGTACGTCGGAATCACCTGGAGAGCTTTTCAAAATCCTGACACCCAGGTCACATCCCTAACCAATTAAATCAGAAGGTCTTGGAGTGGGAGTCAGGAAGTAGTAATTTTTTAAAGATTGCAATGCTCAGAAGAGTTGGGGAATCACTGGTTAGTTGCTCTTTCCTGCCACTATTGTTAATGCCTGGCTTACTTCTCCTGTCCTTATGAAGATTAACTTTTGCTTTTATTTTCGATAATGGCTGAAACAGCAGAAATCTGAAGGACTTTTCAGTCTCTTAATATCAGCATCTATGTAGGAAAGTGCAGTAGCTTGATTTCTGGAGGATGAGTGTAGAATGTGAATTAATTTTCATCAGAGGCCAACCTGGACCAAGCATGAATCCCAGAACTACCAGTTGATTAAGTCGTAAACAGACCTGAATCTAAAACAGCAAGTGTAGATCACCCCAAACCACCGGTGAGTAGGCAGGGGAAGGTGGGTGTTGATTTTATTCTTCAGGCAATATTTAACAATGTCTGAAGACATTTTAGGTTGTCACAACCTGGGAAGTGAGGGGGGGAGGGTGCTACTGGTATCTAGTGGGTAGAGGCTAAGGGATGCTGCTAAACATCCAACACTGCAGAGGGCAGATCCATTCCCCCACCCCCACCAAAAAAACGAAAAAAAAACCCAAAGAATTATCCTCTCCAAAATGTCATTAGTTCCAAGATTGAGAAACCCTGCTCCAAACTGAAGTGAATGACAATATTTCATGCACCTGGGTGAAAGTGCAGGGCAGGAAAGTAAAAACAATTGTAATTTGTAATCCTAAACTTAAATCATAGTTGGATGTTTAGTAGTGACGTTTCCAAAAGAGCACCTCTTTTATTTTTGGAACCATGAAACTTTAGAGCCAAAAAATTAGGGATCATATAAACCACTTCATACACTGAGCTCATTTTATGAGTATGGAAAGTGTAGCCCAAAGAAAGTAAGATTTAGTGAGTTTTTAGAGCTAGTGACAGAACTAAACTGGAGCGCAGGACATTTTCTTTTCAGTGCCTTTTTCTATTGTTTAATTTCTCAAAGCATCACATTTACTAATTTGAAGAATCTGTATTCAAAGACAGCCTGTCAGAAAGAAAATATTCAGGAATCTTTATTTAAGTGACTCAGGTTCTTCAGGAAAACATCTTAAAACTTAGCCCTCTTGAAGAGAAGTATATACTTGTTTATTAAGCAAGAGTAAATAAAGGCTTGCCCTCTGATGTATCTTGTAGGGTTATAATGTAACTTTATATTGCATGGCAGCTGAGTGAAGCTGCTTGACTTGTGTAACAAGCTAAGATGGTAATACTATATTTTGCTGGGAGTCTTCCCTAGCCTCAAGTTTGGTATTTTTTTCCTAGTATAGTAACAGGTTAATTATCCGGAGACCAGAATTCTGGCAACCTCAAGCATCAAAAGAATAATTTTTTTTAAGCTTCTCTGATAAGGAAATAATTAATGGCAATGAAGATAGACAAGAAGTATCACAGATTATCTTGATGCCTTATGACTAGTTGATTCAGTGGCCAAAGAGATCAGGTTCTCTGATTAACTGGTAATATATATATATAAAAGCTGTACTATACAAAAAAATACAGAAAAATATTTACCAACATGGAAAAATACTTATGATGCTTGAGGAAAGCAGACTATAGAAGTGAAGCTACACACTAATCTGTGTTCTAAAAGTTATGATATGAAAAAGGACCAGACAGGGATGTGGAAAAATGGAATTATTTAAATGGTTTATTGAAATGACAGCGTTGTGGGTAAATTTTATTTCTAATAATAATAGTTGATATGAAATATTAACAATAAGGTGATATATGTTTAATGAAAAGTTCAGCTAAAAATTCTGAGCTCTATTATCAGTGGAGAGTCCGCTCTCTTTCAAATGATTCATTTTTGACCATGCCATATAACCAAGTGATTACTGAATAATATGACTTTAACCAGTATAGGCCCTTGACACCCAAAAAGTGGTCAAACCATTGGCACATTCATAGGAAACGGCCAGTGATAGTATATAAACCTTGCTGCTACTGGATTATTAAAGTTAAATAGTTTTTAAAATTTTGTTTCATACAATAAATAGGTCATCAGCACTTAAAACTACTGTATTGTTGTTTAGCATATTATATTGTACCTTGTTGTCTTTTCCTAGACTACTGGACTTGGAGGATCGGCAGTAGCAGGTCATGCATCAGACCAGATTGAAAACATGGTACCTGTTAAGGATCGCATCATTAAAGTCACCTTTAATGCAGATGTGCATGCAAGTCTCCAGTGGAACTTTAGACCTCAGCAAACAGAAATATATGTAAGTGATTAAAGCAGTTTTTAAAAGATTGCTTTTTTCAATGTAAAAATCCTTTCTTTCATCGCTTACTGGTTCATAATTTAGGAAACATTCATCTAAACTTAATTTCAAAATACTGACAGATTCCATTACTGTAATCCTTTTATTCCTGCAGACTACTTTTTGACAGTGCCCTATATTCTGACCTAATGTAACAGGATATACTTTTAAGTTACATGGCATTATAATAAAAGTCAGTTTGGAACTATGGAAAATGTCATGTTTTTATTAGAATCGTATTAAGAATTCACTAAGAAGTTTTCTGGTCACTAATCTTGACAGTAGGAGCAGCTGTCATCCTTTATAGTTGACTTTACCTCAGGTATAGATGATACAAGAAAAATGTTGAAAATCATTGGTTACAATGGAAAGTAGTTTACTGATTTACATCAGAAGTATCCCTGTCCCTTAAAAAAAAAATTTAAGGATCTTTGAAGTAATCATGCTAAATAGTCATGTTCTATTTCAGAAAGATTATACACCTTAAAAGTTTCCTAAAATTGTGATTAGAGGATTTAACTGAAATTATCTCATGAACTGAATAGCCAGAAAAGCTTAATTGTAACTCTTATTGGAAAACCCTATTAATATTAGTGCTTCCCCAGGTTAGTAAGCTTCATTGAATCTCTTCAGTGATTTGAGGGTGTTATAGGTTATGGTTCTTTCTGTTTTTTTTTTTTTTAATTAATTAATTTATTTTTGGCTGCGTTGGGTCTTTGTTGCTGCATGCGGGCTTTCTCTAATTGTGGCGAGCGGGGGCTACTCTTCATTGCAGTGCGCGGGCTTCTCATTGTGGTGGCTTCTCTCGTTGCGGAGCATGGGCTCTAGGCGCGCAGGCTTCAGTAGTTGTGGCACGCTGGCTTAGTTGCTCCGCAGCATGTGGGATCTTCCCGAACCAGAGCTTGAACCCATGTCCCCTGCATTGGCAGGCGGATTCTTAACCACTGCGCCACCAGGGAAGCCCTAGATTATGGTTCTGAATATTAGTTGCAATCACACAGTAGTATACAGTGGTGTTAGTTGCTAAATTGGTACATGCGACAGAGCATCCTTTGGACGGTGATTTTTTTTTTTTTTATTTATGTCTCATTTTACGTTGACTTCTTTAAAGCCTTGCAATTTATTTTATCCGTTATTTTCTCTCAAGAAAAAAAAAACTATTAGTGCTTTTTGGTTAAATAAAAGTTCTATTCAGTTAGTTTTACTCTGGTTTACATTTAATTTACTCTGGTTGTAAACTAAGTTTAAGGTTGGTAACCTTTTATAAAAAGAATCTTTAGTCAATTATATAATATTCAGGGATAAGTGTTAAGAAGTTAGGCTTGGCTTGTTCTTGGACACATTTTATTTTCTTACATCTTTATTGAAGTATAATTGCTTTACAATGTTGTGTTAGTTTCTGCTGTACAACAACGTGAATCAGCTATATGTATATATATATATATCCCCTCCGTTTTGAGCCTCCCTATCCCACCCCTCTAGGTCATGACAAAGCATGGAGCTGATCTCCCTGTGCTATGCAGCAGCTTCCCACTAGCTGTCTATTTTATATTTGGCAGTGTATATATGTCAGTGCTACTCTCTCATTTCGTCCCAGCTTACCCTTCCCCCTCCCCGTGTCCCTAAGTCCATTCTCTATGTCTGTGTCTTTATTCCTGTCCTGCCCCTAGGTTCTTCAGAACCTTTTTTTTTTTTTTTTTACATTCTATATATGTTAGCATACGGTATTTGGTTTTCTCTTTCTGACTTACTTCACTCTGTATGACAGACTCTAGGTCCATACACCTACCTACAAATAACTCAATTTTGTTTTTTTTTATGGAGCAATATTCCATTGTATATATGTGCCACATCTTCTTTATCCATTCATCTGTCGATGGACACTTAGGTTGCTTCCATGTCCTGGCTATTGTAAATAGTGTTGCAATGAACATTGTGGCTCATGACTCTTTTTTGCGGTACGCGGGCCTCTCACTGCTGTGGCCTCTCCCGTTGCGGAGCACAGGCTCCAGACACACAGGCTCAGCAGCCATGGCTCACGGGCCCAGCTGCTCCGCGGCATGTGGGATCCTCCCGGACCGGGGTACGAACCTGTGTCCCCTGCATCGGCAGGCAGACTCTCAACCACTGCGCCACCAGGGAAGCCCCACGACTCTTTTTGAATTATGGTTTTCTCAGGGTATATGCCCAGTAGTGGGATTGCTGGGTCATATGGTAGTTCTATTTTTAGTTTTTTAAGGAACCTCGATACTGTTCTCCATAGTGGCTATATCAATTTACATTCCTACCAGCAGTGCAGGAGGGTTCCCTTTTCTCCACACCCTCTCCAGCATTTATTGTTTCTAGATTTTTTTGATGATGGCCATTCTGACTGGTGTGAGATGATATCTCATTGTGGTTTTGATTTGCATTTCTCTAATGATTAGTGATGTTGAGCATTCTTTCATGTGTTTGTTGGCAATCTGTATGTCTTCTTTGGAGAAATGTCTATTTAGGTCTTCTGCCCATTTTTGGATTGGGTTGTTTGTTTTTTTGATATTGAGCTGCATGAGCTGCTTGTGTATTTTGGAGCTTAATCCTTTGTCAGTTGCTTCATTTGCAAATATTTTCTCCCATTCTGAGGGTTGTCTTTTCATCTTGTTTATGTTTTCCTTTGCTGTGCAAAAGCTTTTAAGTTTCATTAGGTCCCATTTGTTTATTTTTGTTTTTATTTCCATTTCTCTAGGAGGTGGATCAAAAAGGATCTTGCTGTGATTTATACATCATAGAGTGTTCTGCCTATGTTTCCCTCTAAGAGTTTTATAGTGTCTGGCCTTACATTTAGGTCTTTAATCCATTTTAAGTTTATTTTTGTGTATGGTGTTAGGTAGTGTTCTAATTTCATTGTTTTACATGTAGCTGTCCTGTTTTCCCAGCACCACTTATTGAATAGGCTGTCTTTTCTCCATTGTATTTTCTTGCCTCCTTTGTTGGATACATTTTAAATAACTTCATCTGCAGATTATTGCTTGAAGACTTCAGACATACAAGAGGACAATCCGTATCTAAGTATGCGTAAGAGAACATTGGTTCTCCACTGACATATGCAAGTAACATTTGAAAATCAAATGTTCTTGGGTAGTATTCACAATTTATTTTGCTGACCCTTAACATTAGTTTAAATGAGGTATTATGGTCTGAAATGATAATAATGACTAATTTAGGAGGGAAAGAAGGAGCCATGTGAGATTTAAGGATAATGTATATTTTCCTTAAAACAGGTAGTGCCAGGGGAGACTGCACTGGCGTTTTATAAAGCTAAGAATCCTACTGACAAACCAGTAATTGGAATTTCTACATACAATGTGGTACCATTTGAAGCTGGACAGTATTTCAATAAAATACAGGTATAACTAAATGCAGACATTACAGAATGTGATAAAGGTACATGAAATTGTTTGATACTAAATCTATTTGTGTCTGTTTAGTAGGTACTAATTTTTTAAAGTTCATTTCTTCTAAACTTCAAACTTTATTTTTCATTGCTTATAATAGCTATGCAGAGGTTGAGAGTCAAACCATATAGATATCTGCTTTTTTAAGATTAGAAGAATTTGCTGATTCTCAATCCTTAAAGCAAAACTCAATCTGAGATAAAAGATGCTGTTATTCTATTACAGAATTTAAAGATTATAATTAACAGTTATGCTTATTAAAGCCAATAAATGAAGCATTAGTTTCTATTATAGGTAATAGAGTAGAAATATTAATTAATGAATACCTTTCTATAACTTCTAGTGCTTCTGTTTTGAAGAACAAAGGCTTAATCCACAAGAGGAAGTAGATATGCCGGTATTTTTCTACATTGATCCTGAATTTGCTGAAGATCCAAGAATGGTGAATGTTGATCTCATCACTCTTTCTTATACTTTTTTTGAAGCAAAGGAGGGGCATAAGTTGCCGGTTCCAGGCTATAATTGAAGTCAGAACTAAGTCCTGCTTCAAATTTGTGATTTTTGAAAAATCATGTATCTTCTCAGAGGAGAAATATTTATAATAATGTGAAGCCTTCTATTTTACATTTTATATACTTATGGTTCTTTTTTCCCAACTAAGTTACCCTACTTAGAATGTGTAACTGTTCAAAACCATACTTAGAGTTTAAGTAGTATTAGAAGAAACTGCTTTGTTTCTTAAATATCTTGGCATGGACTTGATGGTTCAGCTTAATTCACTGGTCCCCTTTCAAATTATGAGCACTTCATACTTGTAGCAATGAATTTTTATTATTATTTCTAGAATAGTTGGTTACTACTTTCATTATGAACAGTCACTATTTTAAAAGCTCAAAATGGAAGAGGAATCACTAAGCCCTAACAGCTTGCCTAAAGATTACATTCTGATTTCAAATTTGACTGTATTTTTCCTTTAGGATCTAGGGCTATTTTACATTCAGAGTACTAAACAAGTACTTTGAAATTTCAGTACCATGAAATTTAAATAAAATGCATAAGTATATCTGGTAGGTTTGTAGCATTTTTTGTGATAGTTCCAAGTCTCCAAATTTTAAAATGTAAGTGGGATTGTGAAGATTTACTGACAGCAGAGTTCTTCTGAAAAAAGATGTATTGAACTGTTTTAATAGTAATTTATGACAAACCAAAGTACAATTTATTCTGAATGTTTTCCAGTAGTCTTTTTTCCAAAAAGAAATAAAAAAGGAGCATTTAGTGTTATAAAGAATTATATTTAAAGGCAAACAGTGTAGAATCCAGTAACCTCTTGAGGGTACCTGAAATATTAAACTACAATCATCAAGGCTTTTACAATTCATAATCCTAAACAAGAGTATTATTTATAAAGAAGTGCAAATTGACTTTTACATTCAACTTTAGTTAAATGAAGGCACTCAGTATTCTTCCTGAATAATAATAGTTTTTCACATTTCATGCTTTCATCTGTTAACAATTATTTTGTAATGAAAGTCTTCATCTACTCTTATCCGAGCTCTTGTGATGATTTCTAAATGTAGGAAGGTCTGAAACATAAGGTGCTACACTTAATCTGGTTGGCCTCAGTACCAAGAATTTTTCTTCTGCTTAAGTTTTAAGTGAATATATGTTACAACCAAGTTCTTTTGAGAGAAAGCTTGAGCTGCTGTCAGGAGCCATAAATGTTACTCTGGAACTGTTACTCTTCTGTTTAAACCTCATTACTGCAGAGGAGAAATGTTCCACTGTGGCTTTGACGTTCTGGAAGGTCTTAACTTCTGGGTCTCAAAGCTGGACAGGGTCTACCTTTAGGAGAATTGGCACCCATAATGCTGCTAGTGAGCTGGTCATCCACTTCAACCTGGAATAAAAAGAAGAGTCAACCATCTCCATCTTTTCCTCTTTCCCCATTCCTTGTAACTAGAGAGCCACAGTCTAGTAGAGGAAAGGTGGGAATGTACTACTTCCATGGGGGAAGGTGTGGAGGGAATAAATAAGGTTAATAGGTTACTGGTGGCTGTGTGCATTTATTAGTAAATAAATGGAATGATTAGTAAAGCAATAGAATCCAGACCAATCTAGACTAACAATGAATGGCTTCTACCAGTCCCAGCTAACAGGTATTAACTGCACATAAAAGACACATCTGATTCTAGTGCTAAGAAGTTTTTATTGATCATCGGTTTTTGTTAGCATTAACATTTCTATACCATAAACCTACTTCTGCATTCCCAAGATTTATAATTTTTAGCTAACATGGTCACAAAGAATGTATTTCATTAGTGAACAATAGTTCATTACAATTTGAGTGACTCAGAGGAACTTGTGTAATAATATCTCACTCATCAGAGTGTCAGACTGTGATGGCCCTTACAAAATGTAAATAATAAATGTAGAAAGTGACAGTTACACTGAAATCATGTGGAATGTAAGTTGCGTAAGTTGAAGCCTTTACCTCAACGGTCACTGTGACTTTGAGCTCCTTTGTGGTGGTGAACATCAATGTCTTCATAAATAGCTCTGAAACAAACAAGCCATAATGGCAAAAGGGTTATATATCAGTTTCAATGTACTATTTTGGCTTTTAGCTGCCAACAACTTAACTAAAAATCTGGTGCTATTTTAGGTGTTCAGGAAATCAGGCTATATCAGTAAATAAAAACAAAGGTCTCTGTCCTGAAGCTTACATTATAACTTTCTTAGATCCTAATGCTGCTATTCCCGTACATCTTATAAATATGTATCTCATGTAACCATTTTACTTGTAATTTAATGAGAAATATGGCTCAAAATTTGGACAGTTTGCTTCCTGATTTAAAAAAAAGCAAAAATTGTTCAGCTTTCCCTGGCTTTATAAAAAACATTAAAAATTAATATTCTAGCTTATTTAACGTATGTTATTACAGTCCAAACTCCTGAGCTACCTTTAGCATATAACTGTCATCTTTGTGCTTTGTATATAGTCCTTTCTATGACAGCCTTTGTTCAATTCTTTATATTTGTCTTACATATGTCTGCAGATAGAACATATCTATACCTAGAAATATGACATTAATATATACAGTATAACAACACATGGCTAAGGAAAAAAAATCTCATAAAAATCACAGCACATTGAAGGCATGATCCCTAACCTCAAGAAGCCCCAGCATGGTCCAGAAACGTTAATGTTTTTCTAATAAGTTTTGTCTCTCGTTTTCCACAAAAGTATTTCAACCTCCTTCACTCTATTCAAATCTCTGATGCCCCTCCTCTCAGTCAGAAACCTCACATTTTAGTAAATTAAATGTCTGGATATGGAAACCTCCTCATGGCTTCCATCACCAAATCTTCAAGTCTGTTTTCATCTGCACCATCATCTACTTCTATGATCCTATCTGTCTACCCCTAGGCTTCTCAAACACCTCACTCATTTAGGTATCTCCCTTCCTAAATCTTCAGCCTCTCATTCTCTACTAAATCCTACCCCTTAGGATTCACAGATGTTCCAGCATCTCCCATTTTATAAAATAATACAGTCCTTTATCCCATGTCTACTTAATCACCTCAGTAATCCTCCAGCTCCCAGGCCACTTTCCACAATCCCTTCATGTTTAAGTTTCTATGTAAGTTACCTGTGCACTTACTGTCTACTTCATCTCTTACTTTTTAATGCACTGAAATTTGGTTCTGTCCCCATCGATTTACCAAAATGCTTCTACTAAAATCACCAATGATTTCCTGTTACTTAGTCCATTATTGAGTGTTTGTCTTCAGTAATGTTTACCACAGTTGTGTACTCCCTCCTTTTTGTTTCCAAACTGCAATTTCCACATCTGGTAATAGGTTGTTCCCCGTTGCTCTCTTTGCTCTTGGCTTTTCCATTTTCTTGAATGCGCCAAACTCTCTCCCCACAGGGTCTTTGTATAAGTTGTTACCTGGGCCTGCAACACTGATTCCCAAACTTGTCACACTAAAAACTGCAGGTCTTAACCTTAACGTCACTTCTCAGGCTTTCTCTACCCTCATTTAAATCAGTTCTTTCTGTTATACACTGTCAAGTCGATATCTTTCATACCATTAACACAAACTGTAAATACATGTTTGCCTGCTGATTTAATTTCTGCATCCATACTAGATTTACCCTCCATGAGTTTTAACACGATAAATTAGGCAGCAATCAATTCCCCTTGCACATAGACAGTGTTCAGTCATTTGTCAAATGAATGAATCATGTGTATGTATATGTATATGTATATTCATAAATACTATACTCTCTGTTCTGCTGGAGTAGAAATTCTTAACCTGGGGTTCATGGACAACTAGTGATGTGAATATCCCAGAACTTTTCTGCAAGATTTTGTGCTTTTCCTTAGGCAGAAGTTCCCTGGATTTCATGGAATGTTCAAAGAAATTGAGACACCCTACCCTCCTGAAAGTAAGAATTGTAGTGGTAGGGAATTCCAGCTTCTTACTATCTCTCTTACCTTTAATATCTATTGCACCACCACATCTACTTACAACAATCTCATAATTAACTAAAATATAATAATATACTTTTCCGCTTCCTATTTGCCTAGAGAAACCGATAAAAACATCCGGTTTCCAGACAGCATACCCAGTTTAACCAGTTTCTAATTCCTTAAACCACTAATATATTCATTGATACTTTATCAAGCAGAATGACCTAGGAAAGTTTCATAATCTTGTTAGGAAAAAATATTTAATGAATTCCTAAGCCTATTAAGATTCGTTCATAAATCATTCCAAAATAGATCACTACATTGAGGGTTTAAACCAGGGTCAAAACCTCAAATGCCTACACATGCCAGGCAGGTCAGATGAAGGTATGCAGTGGGCCAGGTGGGGCCTGGTGGACTGCAGAAGCTGTCTCATCTTAAAGAGGCAGCTACTATGCAGCCCCAAGCTATTGCTAACACGTAAAAATGCTGTTGTATCGAAAAGAATCCAGAGGTCCAGATATTTTTGGAAATATCCCACTTTTTAACTGTTGGCAGTTAGTGTTGAAATGCATATTTAAAATTCACACAGGTCAAACAAAACACAGCTGCAGGCAAGATAACAGCCTGCAGGCTGCTAGTTTCTAAACAGTGATTTCCATAAACCTGCTTTAATCATTTTAAACAATTTTGGGGGTAACCTTTAGTCAAAGTATATTAAAGCTCTAAGGAGCCTACCATTCCATAAATATTTTTATATACTGACCAATATGAAATCACAAAATAATGCTGCTTTAAGGATTCCAAGTTAAAAAGTAATTTTTACACTAATAATCCATTTTAAGCACACTCTTGTCATAGGTAGTGAAGATTAAAAACAAGTTCTTATAGAAGTCTTTTTTGGCATTAGTCAAAGAACAACTAAAATACCCCATCCATGTGGTACTTATGTCACTAATCAGTGAATAGTGCCCTTCTCAAGCTGGAGAGAATCTGACTTTCCTCCAAGGCATCTACAAGGAATATACTAATGCACACGATGGTTCTGGTTATTTCTTAATGTGCAACCCCAGCATTTTTATTTTTTAGTCACAAGGCTGAGAATAACAAGACCATTAAGAGCAACAACCTCCAAGAAAACCTCACAAGTCATTTTTAAATAAGGTCATTGATTTCTGCCAAGACCTAAACAAAGTTAAATGTATGACCAAGCCCTGTTAGCTCTGCTACCAAAGGGAACCAAGACAAAAAAGATAATCATTTTGTAAATTACTTACTCTGTGGTGACAGCAGGAGCTAAGGGATCAAACTCCATTACTTCGTAGTAATTGGGTGGCTGGAAATCATTCTTTGTCATCGCTGTAAGCAACAAAAAGAAACACACATTGTGCTTTTCGAGGAGATACACACAATTAATATTCTCTTTATGACTTAGACTTCTGACAGAAGATCCTAACAAACACTGACAACGAGAAACAAGCACACTGGTGTTCCAATGCTACTCCCAAGTACAACAAATCTATACATAACAAAAAGGTTTCCAAACTTCGATTACAGGTTCATTTACCTCAGCACTCAAAATACAATATTCAGTGCAACACAAGCATTTTTACAATCTCCTAATGTCGGTAATGGTATCTGCCCTGAATTTATCTCGTGTAGCTTAAAAATGTAAATGAACTCTAATTTTTCCTCTCTGTATATCTATTTTCAGTTACCAATAAATCTTTAGCAGATTCATATATTCTCTCACAAGTTTCCTTATTTGATGCAAATAATAAGGTGTCAAGTACCTGGATGATTGCTGGGCAGGGATGGTGGTCTCTGGTTTGATGGTGTTGCTGGAATGGTCTTTAGAGTAACTGGCTGTAGTAATACTGAATTTGAATATTCCGGAAACTGAAGAGAGCAGGGTGCATGTTCAAATAAACATTCTACATTAAGCTTTACTTTATAATTTAGATTCCTAGGCTTCCAAGGGGCAGTATTCCAAGAACCATATATTCTGAACTGGATAAGAATTAGTAATTATTAACTATTATTTTAGTTTTTAAGATAATAACCCCTTACAGAATTTACTGCTTTTCTGTCTGGTTTCATGCCCATTGCACCTCATTTCCCATATAAAATGTAAACTTAAAAAAAATGTTGCTTTTTAAAAAAAGAAGCGGGAATGTATGGCTCAGACCAGAGTCTGTTGTTCCACACTGAATAAAACCTGGGCCTCAAAGGACAAAAAACAATATTAACCACAAAAAAGCATAAGGTGAAGATATTAAATCAAGACTTAAAGATTAAAGTTTTAATTAGAAATATCTCTTCTTGTTAATTTTCTTCATTCATTTCACAAATATGTCCTGGGCACCTACTGTATGCCAGGCTCTATAAATAAAGCAGTAAATAAAGCAGGCCAAATCCCTGCCCTCAAGAAGCAGACAATCAACAAACGTAAACAGGTGTCAGATAGCAAGTGCTCTCTGGAAAAAGCAGGGTAATGGGAGAAGAGAGGCTGGGGTGGGATATTTCTCTGACAGTCATAGTCAAGGGAATGCCTCACCACTGGGGACAC